AGGCTGTGACCGGATCGTACCGGTGGACATTTATGTTCCAGGTAAGCTTGAAATTTATGTTCAGTGACATTAAAAAGTGGTTTTTGCATAGTTTAAATCAAATTACATAAACCAGAATTTATGTAATTCTGGTTTATGTGAGTCATATTAAACAAAAAAGATACATATATTGCCCTGTGCAGTGTTTCACTTTTTTAGCTGGAATAAATTATTTATTGATATGCATCATTTAATTCTTAAAAACTAAATTCTTGAATCTTCTCGTTAACTAGGTCTGCAGCTAAAAGTTATTAGTAATCTATTATTCTATCGATTATTCTGATCAATAATCAAGCAATTTGGAGGGAAAATTAACAAACTGCATTTTTTTTTTCATTCAGAATACAAATGAAAATAAGAAACTAAACATTTTACTGCCTGAAATGCAATAATATAGTGTTCCTTCAGTGTACGTTTGATCATTTTTGGCATCTCCAGCTAAAAAAATACTAAATAAATACTTAATAAATAAATACTAAATAAATACTTATATTCAGAAAGCTGTATCTAAGTACAGCAGTTTTTGGTTATAAGTTCATGTTTTTTGGAGTTTGTAAAATGAGCCGTTTCTTATGAATGGACCTACCAACCCCAGCAAAACCCAGGTCGTTACTTAGCAACCCCATCAGAGCTCCACCCATCACCTAGCAACCCAAGCTAAGCTCCAGAACTGTTTGATCAGCTGGTTTTACCATTGTATTCGCTGTACAATGGCTGCTGGAAAAGACAAGTGTTTTGTTGTTGACATCCCACCCAGAAACTACTAGCTGCATTCTTCTTGGTTGTGCAGGAGGCTCTACTTCTGCTTTTCAAAAATGTACAGTTTATAATAGTCCATATGTTTGCATTCATTTTTATGTGCGAGTGTAAATGTTGAGTTGGAGGTGTGGCCACCAGACAAAACTCTCATTATCTAAGAATGATTTTGTGCAAAAAATCCAATGAATATGTTTTGTATTGCTCATAACCTGTTCTAGGAAGCATAATAGGTCACCTTCAATGGCTTCTTTTCGTTCCCAGGTTGTCCTCCCACAGCAGAAGCTCTCCTGTATGGCTGTTTACAGCTGCAAAAGAAAATCAAACGAGAGAAGAAGATAAGTATCTGGTTCAGGAAGTGAGCGTGTAGTATATCTGTGTAAATCTGTGTGTAAATGTATTTCTGGTTTCATTTGGGGCATTGCTCCTCTTCCACATAGAGCAGCAGAAACTTCAGTAAATGAAATATTGTAATTTATGCAAAGCTGCTTTTCATGAGACTCACCAGCTTCTGCTCTGTTTAGGTTTCTGGGTCTTTAAATTAATGTTACTGTTTTAAAACACAGTTTAAAGGCAAATCAGTTTAAGCAGCATTTATGACTCTACACACGGTTGTAAACAAAACAAGTGATGCACCACAATATAATAAATGTTGTTTCCAATAAATTTTGGTTCATAAAAATCAAGGATTTTGTCATTTTTGCAACTGCTAATTTTTGGTTGACACAAAATAATGAATTGTTATACTAAGTAATAAAAAATACAAATTGTTTGCAGATATCTTAATGCATTAATTAAATACATAAATAGATTGTTACATATATGGAAATTATTCAAAGTTGTGTTGAACTGCATAAATTTGATGGTTTTTGCTAGAATTTTGTCCCATTCCTCCTGACAGAAAACTGACCTAAAACAAGAATTTTAAGTCAGACTGAGAAAAATAAATGTATTTTTGTACTTTGACTCATCTGGGTTTGTTTTGTTTTTAGCTTTGTCTTAATTCATCATTAACACAATTGTTGAATTATCTGTGTGTCCACATCATTTTAATGCCTTAAAATGTTCATTTGAAGAAAGTAAGTTAGCCTTAAATATGTTAATCACATGTCTTAAGGTTGGTCTTGGTAGATCTGTTTATAATCTAATATATTGAATGTATTTTTCTCTCATGGGACTTTTATGTCAGGCAAAGGTTTGAGTCAAACAGATCTCTTCACTGCATTCTGTGACTTACTGCAAATATTTCTGAAGCTACCATGGGTCAGTGCAAATTTACCCAGTTAAATTCCATCCATAATGGTCTTTAAAGTCCTTAGAAATTCTTACGTGATTTGAGTCTGTAAAACATGCAGAAACCCTGATTATAATTTTTTAGAGTCTTGCACTTTTTAACTTCCATAAAAGAAAAGTAAATGATGAAAATCATTTTCTAGAATCTTCAGCCACAGCTGCTTCACTGCATGCTTAATCATTGTAAAGGTAGAACATTTATTTATGCAACACGCATTTGAACCTACAAATATTCACTTTACATTTGTGAGAGTTTATGAGTCATGCATTCACTTTGTGTTATTGCTCCTGGGTGCTCTTGTTCTTTAGCTGCGAACATATCAGACATTGTACTCTTTATGGTTTTAACAAAACTGCATTTGGTTACTGAATACTGTTTTAATGCATCATCACTGAATCAGCCACGAGTTTACATTGAAGCACTTTCAAACAGACGAACATTTGTTATATCCAACAGGCAAGGTTGCTCATATGCAGACATTTTCTTTATTTTTGAAATGATCTGCCCGATGTTAGATAAAAAGCATGGTTGATAAAACCTGGTAAAAACCAGCTCCACTTTCTACGCCATTTGCTTCGCACTAAGCTCTCAGCTGTTGAGAAGCGATTGCTTGGACTCCGCTGAAGTTTTTAATTTTACCCAATCGCTAACGTTTGCCCGTGACGTATGTAATGCGTCAGTTCGACGCTAAGAAGCTTATCGGAAATTGCCTGCGCTGTAAGCAACCGTTTCTCCACTGCTAACATAATAGTGCCAATCCGAATAAGACTGCTCTTAATGTTAATTCAATATTTGGACTCGAACTGAACGGCTTCGTTCACCTTCTGACTAAAAACTATAGGTAGACTACAATTTTAAAACAGCGCAGAACATTTACGTCATCGTTAACAACTTCGCTGATTGGCCCAATAAAAAAAAAAATGTACCGGTGGGAATCGAAGCGAAGGAGAGAAAGCCCAAACTGTGAACAGTAAGCTAATGACCACACTGTACTCTTTCAATAATACTTCATTTTTACTGTGAAAATAGAAGAATAAGATGTGGAATTTTAGTTCGAGATTGTTCTCTCTGGTCAAACGCAGACATATTCTCTACAGTTCCCTCCCCTGCCCTGTTACCACTGTAAATGAACACGTACGGCTGGTCGGTGAAGTCCTGATTCAGATCTGTGAGCCGCTAGCAGCTGTGGTTTCCCACCAGAGAGCAGTCTGTTGTTGCATCATCCATCCGTCTAATGATTAATGGCTCCTCGCCAGGTGGTTACTTGTTCCTACGTGTTCACTCTTTAATCTCACCTTACACTTATCTCCAACCATAAATTAGGACATCCGTCCTATACTCAGCTGTTACAGACAGTTTAAGATATTATATTTTAATACAAAACTATTCACACGCGTCCATTTCTTTTTCATTCTGCAGCCAAACTTCAATGTGTTTTGTTAGGATTTTATGTGGCAGGCGACTAGCATTTTTTAAGTCCCATTTCTCCATTAATCGATAAAATAATAGACTACTAAAACAATCCTTAGCTGCAGCTCTAAACCTATTTAAAAACAAGAATCGTTTTCAGCTAAAGTTGGTAAGAGCCATTGCGAGGTCGGAAGAATCACTTCACGGTAAACCTACATTTTCTGCAGTCTTGATTGGCATTTAGTTGTTTTTATTTTAGCCCTTTACATCACCACTCATATTAACGTAGATATTTATGCATCGTATTTCCTAATTTATCTCGCTTTTATCTTCAGAAATATTCACAGACATAGGTGTGCAGATTTATAGATAGTACCTCATTTATATATTCAAGATTTTTATTTCAGAAACTTCCTATTCAAACTCTGTTTGCTTTTAAAACCACATGTGAACTCTCCATCCCGGGAAGGTTTTTACTGAGCCAGCATTGTTTTCAGGTTTATAAATAACAAACACAACACAACATAAATAACACGAGTACTGCAGACGGGGAACATCTTGCACTATAACTGCAACAAAGCATGTTTTTGTCCTGTTCCATCAGTAATCATTTCACAGCGTAGACTTGGAGTGGGTGCATCCATGACAGGAGGCTGCTGGGTGATGTAAAACCTGGAAACAGGTGAGTTTGATGTTGGAGGTATTTCTAGTAGAAGGGAAATTAAAACCAGTACAAGAATTTTGTGACAGGAAGAAAATCTAATAATATCAGCTACGATAAATATAGGGCTGAAGTGATTAATCGATTTAGTAATCGATTAATCATTAAGTAGAATCATTAATTAAACCAAAACTATATAAAAAATATATTTTGCATTTAAGAAAATAAATATTTGTAATATTTTCTATATAGACCTCCTGAAGTGATATAAATAACTTCACCTTGTTCAAATTCTATTAAAGAAATTAAGCACCTTTCCTAATTGTTAATCATTTACTCAAAAAAAAAAACAAAAAAAAAAAAACAGATCAGCCAGCCCTACACTGTATTGATAGAAATGGCTGAGCTAGATGTAGTTTTTCATATTGCATCCTTTGCTACAAATGATCAAACTCTAAAATAATGCTGTTTTTGAACTTAAGGCAATAAAATGCTTATTTTCTTATTTAAAATAGAAATTGAATACTTTGCATCTTTTACTTTATTTCTAATATTGTCTAAAAAGGCTTAAGTATAAAATCTACAAAATATGGCATTTTTAAAATCCAGATGATTAATTGATAACTAAAATAATCGATAATTGCAGCCCTGCTCTATAAGTTCAGCACATCCACCTTTTATTCCCCCTTATGCATTTCTGATTTAATAAAAGTGGTCAAATGAAAAATGTATTCTTTTTTTGTTTGACAGATCAATTGATCATCAAAAATAACCAATAGAATAATCGATTACTAAAGTAATCATTAGTTGTAGCCCTAAATAAATACAAAAAACATTAAATGCAGTTATGATGGAGTTTGTTTTATTAAAACGTTGTACAGTGAAATACGTGATTGGCAGGAGACAAAAGGCACATCTGAATATAAAAAGGCTGCAGCAGCGGCGGCGTCTTCGTCCTTTATTCTTTCACAATAGTGGGAGTGATCATCTTCTTGAAGGAGTAGTATTTGCATTCAGTGGGTGGTTCAATGTCCATGGTGGTGGTGCTAATCTTGTCCTTCTTGAAGCCGGCCTCGAGCAAATGGGGCACCTGGGTTTCCTGAAAATCATTAACAGAGACAGAGAGAGGCGGTCGGCGTGCGGTCCAATTCGGTTTATCAGCAGCAACCTTCACATGAAAGCAGCAGGTAACTCAGGTGAACGCAGTGATGTTTTCACCATCTGCGTGTGTCTCTTGTGATAATGGTTGTTGCATTGGAAGCATCAGCATATCCAAAGGAATGCAGATGCAAATTAGCTTCTGCTATAATCTGGTACAGAAATTCAAATGGTGACATTTACACCATTTGTCCCTTTTAAAACAAAGATTATCATTATCATTAATAATAATTATGATCTGCATGTTTTACAAGCAGAGATCTGCATCTACAGCTTTCCAAAGCTACATCCCTACAACGTTTTGAGGTACATCTCTGCTGCAACGCAGCCGAGTGAAATTATCGGATCACCTCTTCAGTGTCAAGTTTAAGACGGAAACAATTAATGGGATTAATCAGGATGCAGCTCTAATCATCTAAAAGCTGCAGAACCGTAGCTCTGCAGTTGGAGGGTCCTGCTAAAGTACGTAGTGAATTTATACGGCCAAATCGTCTTATAAAAACTGTCTTTATGTTTCGGTTGCGTAGCTGGATCATGGGAAGTAGTTCAGGGGAATTGTTGTAGAGAAGCAGACAATAATCAGATAATCGGAGGATTTGATTTTGATGAGATCATCAAGGCAACAAACCTGGAACATTTTCTCAATGTTGTCGTATTTTCCCTTGAGCAGTTCACCCCAGGAGGTCAGGTTGCAGTAGGTGAGGACGCCTCCAGGTTTGAGCATCCTGTGAGCGTGACCCTGCAGGTAAAGAAACCACAGCGTTAATTTTCCCTTCATAAAAAATAATAAGATGGTCTGGGGTCTCTTTGGGCTCCGACTACAGAAACAATTCATCCTCCACCTCAATAACAACATGGTAAACACAGGAGCTGTTAGAAAATGTATTTGACTAAACTGAAATCAAATAAAACTCTGAAAAGACCTTAAGGGGACACATTATGCAAAAGTCACATTTTGCATGTTTTTATACGTTCATTTGGGTCTCGACTGCTTCTATAAACAGTCCAAACTTGTTGTTTTTTGACAATAAGTTTATATTTTTTGGTGTCTGAAAAACAAGCCATTTCAAAAATATTCCAATTGTTGAGTCACAATAAACGGGGGCTGCGCTGTTACCTAGCAACCCCTGCACATCACCTATGGCTGCTGGAAAAGACATGTTTAGCTGTTGATTTCCTACCCAGAAACCACTTGCTGCATTCTTGATGGTTGTGCAGGAGGCTCTACTAATGCTTTTCAAAGGAGCTCAATATAGGCTGAACTGTGCAGACTGATATCTCATAAACTAAGAATGATTTTGTGCAAAAAAAAAATAACTAAAAAGTAAAACAAACCTCTGCTGCTGTATTTAAGAATAAAATAATTATAGGAGTTCTTGTTATTTTTGCCATTAGCTTTAAATAGAACCAACAAAGTGGCTGAATAGTTTCAGCTGCAGATTCAGCTTAGAAAATTAGCTTCTTTCAGTCACTTACCTTAATGAAATCAAACTGGTGAGTGTGCCACGTTTCCTCTGAGAGAGGATATGTGTCATAGAGAATACCTGAAAGAGAAGGCAGAGGTGGCAGCATGCATCATGCATTCGAATTTATTTATTTATTCTTTTTATTATTTCTTCTCTACAGTCAGTCATGCTTTCCTTTTAGCTCATGATGTCACAGGTCACAGATAAAAACATTCAGTTAGCCCAGCACTGCTCCAGCGTTCCTGTTCCCAGTAATTTATACATTTATGACGAAATGCGTCAGGAAATGTCTCACCATCAAAGTGATTGTCTGGCAGGGTTGGAACAACGTTTTCCCAGAGACCCTTCAGAGGGACGACCTGCAGGAGGAAAAAAGAGGCTCACTAGCACCTTATTTTACCAACTTTCCATTCTCAGTTATCACTGCACTGACTGAGTCTAATTACCTTGTGAGGCTGAGACTTGGCCCAGTTCTCCAGACGGGCAAATACTCCATCGTTGCACTCGATTATCCAGTGCTCCTCGATGGGGAAGGACTCCACCTTCGTGGCAGCGATGGCCATGCCAAACCCGATCTCCAGAACCCGACCGCCTGTCAGACAAACAGAACCAAACTTTTCATCTGTTCCCTGCTAGTACGACATTTACAAAAGCCATCAAATGTTCAGGGTGAACTAAAATTGTCAGTATTCTACTTTATGTGTGATTTATTACACTGTAGGGCATTGAGAGTAAGTGATTGCACAGAAATGTTGAGGAGTAACTTATAAAACTTAATGCTTAAGTCTTTTATTTAATGATTGAAAAATCTTTTAATTGCTTTCAGATCATCAGAAATATTTAGATTTGCTTATATTTTTGCACCCTCCAGGAAATTTGTTCTAAGATGCCGAATTTGCTTTCAAATAAAAAAAAAAACCTTTACAATGTAGATATTTTACATGCATTTGCACATCAATCTAAGAAATAAACTGAATATATCATTCTCACTGTGCAAATTAAACTTGAATTTTAAACTTTTTTGCATTCTTTGAAACATCTGGATCAGTCTGGCTTTCAAAGATGAACGTATGTGAGCAGAAATGCTCTCTGCCCTCTGCAGACTTCTTGGCCTTTTCCCAGTAGTGAAGTAACAGCTGCTGCAGTACTCACCAACACAGCGCACCATGCTTCTCACAATAACATGTGTTTCACCATTACAGAATCAAAGAAACTGTAAACTGTAAACTTCTTTTGGTTAATAGAAAAGACGTTTACAGATTTATATACTCACATACATAAACTATTATCTTTGTATATATTCTAAAAAAAATTGCAAATATTTAAATCTATTTTTGTAGTTTGTAGTCCTCAATATTACGCATTAGAGCTCTAACAAAATATTAACACATTTATATTTTCAGCTGAGCTAACAACATTTTTCTGTCAGACATTTTAATGCCTTTTAAGTGTACACAAGAACAAAAAACACATTCCTTAGAATATTCTGTGTTGCTGTCTCTTTAAATGACAAGTTCATGCAGTGTGAGTTCAACATCGGACAAGCCGCGCGGCAGGGCGCGATGCCCGATAATACACACTCCTTCCCGGCCGCTGTTACCTTTAGAAGCTGCAACGGTCGCCAGCGAGTGCATGTACGGGGTTTCCCAGCGTTCCATGACCGGCTTGCCCATGATCTCTAGGTGTGTGTCGGCCTCATTGTACCCGGCGTTAGCGTCGTGCCAGGAGGGCTTGCAGTCCTCTCCCTTGGTGAATATGGGCTGAGGAGCGGAGGTCATTTTGGTTTGCTGTCGTTGCGGTTGGCGGGCTCTACTGGAGGGTTTCTCTGACACAGAAGAGGGTGAAAGTGGAGGAGGCGGTGGTTTATATCGAGCTCACAACTGCTGACACCGCAATCGTGTGACTGGGGGTCAAAAAGCGCAAATACACATTCCAAGATTTAAGAGAGCCCAAGATCCTCTGAAGATAAGAGGACTCACTCAGTGGGAAATAACGGATTATCATTATTGTTATATGTACCAGTTTGATGGCTTTTCTGAGCCAAATTTTCCAACTTTTAAAGTACTTGCAGGCTACTGTTTTGTTGTTGTTGTTGTTGTTGTTTTTTCTATTTTCAATAACAACACAAAATAATTAATTTTGATGTTTGTACTTGTTGTTCAGCAATATTTAATGAATCAAACGACTGAGTCAGATTTCTATAAAAAAGGGGATCTTTAGATAATTGTTCATCCGAAACATAAAGATATCACAGGTTTACTTTTTTCTTGAAGAAAAGCACAGTGTTCTGATTGTTGAACTTTTCTAGCATAGATTATGAAGTCATTTAAAAAAAATGTTGCTAACCTCCCATTTTAAGACAAAAAAAAAACTCCTGTAAAAAATTACAGATTGTGTCCATTTGCATCATTTTTTAAATGCCTCCTGTAAAACATTTGTATCATTCTTGAAATGACATTGTGGTTGGGGCCACAAATATAAATAGAAAAACAGAGTGTCTTCAGTCTGTCTTCTTGTAACCTTTCCTTCCTACAGTTATAACCATCTACAATAACTCTTTTATTAAGAGTTACAACAATATTTAATTTCTCTTTGTTGTCTATAAAGTATTTTTTCACCATTTGGACACCACTGGCCAAACCCTACTTGGATTGATCTTCTCAAGGAAGATGTGAAAAATGTAAAAACTGCATAAATATTCATATATTGAGGCACTTCACCATTAACAATAGCCAAACAGTCGCTACAAATGGAAATGTATTAATTTAGGTCAGGTGAACTGGAACAGAGGCACATCTAAAACGTGGGTCCTGATGACCAAGGTTAAGTTACTGGTCTATCACTTAAAACACCAATAACATACCAGTTTGTGGTTTTCACATAAGAAAACGTTCAATGGTTTGAACATGAAATAAATCAAATGACTCTTCTTTTGGCAGCTTTTTCCAGAAGCAGCTTATCCAGCTGCTTCTGGAAAACATATTAAAAGTTGCTGCTTTCAGCTTCTACTGTTAAGAGTATCAATCTGACTTAATCTTTGGAATTTGAACTTTTGGTCTCACAAAGTACTTATATCAATACCTTTGAATCAGCTGCTGTCCTGGTAGACGTGTCTGATCTGTTCCGTTGAAAAGAGTTAAATCTGCATGGAGGACAATTAAATCTACCCTGAAAAAAAAAAAAAACACATTAAAACTTCAGAGACAGGATAAAAGAATGTCCTGGGTTTGAATCACCTTTTTGAGTGACGTTTGCAATAGTACTCTCTGGGTACTCTGGCTTCCGTCCACAGCCAAAAATATCCAAAACCAGCCTAACTGCTGGTGCTAATTTCCACTAAAGAGTGTGTGCATGGATGTGTTTTTCTACATTGCGTACTTATGGATGTGTGAAATATTCAGGGTCACTTTAGCTTTTGATTATTACAATTAATTCATCAGTTGAATTTAAACAATTGGTGCATTCTGCAGATTTTTTATCTAAACCTACAGAATTAGATTTGCCCACAGTTATTACCATTTTTTTCTTTTTCTTTTTTCATCAACTTATTCTACTGTGTTATCATTTTTGTACAACGCTGGTGCAGTTTCAAACCTGTTTTTAAAGGTGCGATATAAATAAAGTTGACATGACATATTAGAAATGCTTTAAAAAACAAATAAATTCAATTCTTATTTCAAATAAGAAAATAAACATTTTCTTATTTGAAATACAATTTCAAAGTATTCCTTCTAGTGTTCATAAAAGTTGCTTCTGCAGCTAAAAAGATACTTTTAACATCAACATATGAAAAGCTCAGCTGATTTCTGCTTGACTTGGCATCAGTACAGTGTAGAGCTGATCTGTTGAGTATTTTTTGGATTAACTGATTAATAATTTGTGCTTCATTGGAAAATTATTTTAACATAATTTGAACCAGATGATGCTATAACTATGCCACATGTAGGGGTATACTTTTGGCTTGATTACTGCTCTGATTGTGTTGTTATTTCAGAAAATTACATTTTCTTCAGTCTGTATACTCCACCAAGCAAAAATTTAATATTTAATTGCAGAAAATGAGAAAGCGTCAAAATAACAAAAAGATACAGTTCTTTCAGACCTCAAATAATGCAAAGAAGCTAATATTAATTTAGAAACAACAATACTAATGTTTTAACTCAGGTGGAGCTCAGACATGAGTATTTGGTGGAATAACAGGAGGTTTTCAATGGGGCACAGTTCACTGGGCTCTTAGTTTTAAACAGAGCTGCATATATTAGAAAAAATATGTATATTATCCTTCCACCTTTATTAATATCCACTACTCTCCTTTGTTCTGTCATATAAATTTCCACTGAAATACATTGAAGTTTGTGGTTGTAGCGGGACAAAAGAAAGCTCAAGAGGTGTGAATATTGTACCTAACCAGAAGAGTAGTGGTTTATTGTTTCCCGTGTCAGAATGCATTAGTTAATGCATGCAAGTGAGATTCAGTGCAGCAAAGTGTCATTGAAGGGAGTGGATATCAAGAGGCCCGTAAGAGGTTTGGTGGATGATGAGACCCTGCAGAGCAACAAGGACCTTCGCTCAGCTTCATCTAATGGAGTAGAAAAGGAATTGGAGGGAAAGATGATCAGCGGATCTGTTCCCAAGCGTTGGTCTGTCTGCTGTGATTCACCACATAATGTTGTGATTCACATCATCTGCAGTGAAAAAGATAAGTGGCTCTAAATATAGTTCTGAGAAGAGTGGGCTTGATTTTCAGATTTTCATCCATCCGTCGTTTACACACACTTATCCTGGTGGGGTCATGTGGAGGGCTGCAGCCTGTCAGCAAGAGGACAGAGACTGAAACGATTAATCAGATTAACCAGATTAACCAGATTAACCAGTTATTGAAATAATCGCCAACTAATTTAGTAATCAATTAATTCTTACCTGGAGTAAACAGACTCCAAAAAGGTCCAATTCCTAAAAGAACAACACAGTCAAGGCAGTAATTAAGTCAAAACTGTAAAATATAAATATATATATATATTTCCAGAACTTTTCAAGTGGCATAGTTTTGAGTGTTTATTTCATTATTTGTTTATTTGCATTTTAATATATTTTTATCAAGTTTTCTTTTTGTTTTTTTTAATGTTTATCATATTTTCTTCTCTGACATTTTACTTGTTCAAAATAAATATTTTATTTCATTATCAGCTGATCTGGTGGCAACAGGAAGAGGGAGCTGTTTTTCTAACCCGGCAAAGCTGCAGTTTTCTGCACACAGCAGCTGGTTGAATCTGACTTTAATAACACAATATTATAATAGAAATGTGGCAATATTACATACTTAATCGGGAAACATTGAATTTGTGTCAGATGTTACGATCAGAAGAGGTTGTAACAACATGATTCATTCTGCCAGCAGCCTTAAATATCATTACTTACACACAGGGCCGGCCCAAGACTTTTTGGGGCCCAGAGCAGATTTTCAATTGGTGACCCCAACATCATTTCTAAGATACTCTATGTGTGTAATGCAACAACTAGTATCATTAGTGTCATTTGTAATTATTTTACATCACACAAATGTTATTATGGCTGTTGATTTTAGCATTACAGGATTGCAAACTAAAATAAAAAAATATTTGGATTTTCAAATGCAGAATCATATTTAAGTGTGACATATTATTTTAACTGATAAACATTAAATTTACTGTAAACAAGTTAGTAAATCTGATATCTTACCCTTCCTAAAGGTGGCAGCAGCCATCAGCAGTACTATTTGGGTAAAAACTATGAAAATAATAGAAGTAATTTTTCATGTGTAGTTTGTGTTTTTTTTTTTACATAAAGCTCTTTAAAAATTAAGACTGAACCCCATTGGAGACCTCATGATTATTCCACCAAATATTGATCCCTGAACTCTTCCTGAGTTAAAACATTAGTATTGTTTCTAAATTAATATGAACTTATTTTCTTTGCATTATTTTGAGGTTTGAAAGCTCCACATGTTTTTCCTTATTTTGATCATTTCTCATTTTCTGCAAATAAATACAAATTTTTGCTCTGAATATCAGAGACATGCTGTTAGTAGTTCATAGAATAAAATAACAAAGTTCATTTTACTCAAACATAAACCATCAAAAAGTAAAAATTAAGTGGTCTTAATTTTTTCCAGATCTGTATATATTTCATGATGGACTAAGCAGACAAAATGTATCCTATTAATCCTATTCATGCTCAATATGTTTTGATCATTTCCAAGTAAAATACATTTGACACATTTGAATATTTACTAATAATACCCCTTATTTATGTGCTTTATGTCCGCCTCCCCTGCTGCTCCTGTTTCTGTCTTTGTTAGTGAAACAGAAGTGAGTCCATTTCCTCTGAGAAACATGATCAAGCTGTTTCCCTCACACATGAGGTGTTTTGAAAGAAATTGGCTCCAGTCCCAGCGGAGAGGCTGCTATAAATCATGACATGCTGATGTTTGTCCTCAATTTGTCCTTTATGAATGATCTGAAGCAGATAAAGAGAAACAAGAGCATCTTCCAGGGACACGCTTTGCTGAGTGAGAAGGTGGTTCTTGTTCTGACTTTTATAATTCCCACCGGCGGACTGGGAAAGCTTTGGGAATAACAGCAGCACAGAGACACTCCTGTACTTCTATTTCTGTTGTTAATTAGATCCAAGATACATAATTGGTTGAAAGGACACAGTTATAAAGGGAAAAGGGGAACAAATGTGTAATAAAGATGATGATCCATGCAACATTGTATAATATTTTCAGACAATATTTTATCTTCCAAATATCTTTGTGTGTGCGTTTGATTCATGAAAAAAAAGTGGAGAAACGTTTCTTAAATCTGAAGCTATTGATAAGCTGATTGGAGGTGTGGGTTGTTGAGTTCATTTAAAATATATAGAAAGTTGAAAAAATGTAAGATTTATGTTTTTTTATTATTATG